TTTTCTCCAGCTAAACAAAAACAAAACTGAGGTAATAGTCTTTGGCGCCAAAGAAAAACGATTACAGGTCACCAGAGAACTTCAATCTATACATCTAAAAACCACAAACCAGGCGAGAAATTTGGGTGTAGTGATGGATGCAGACCTAAACTTAGAAAAACACATTAAGACAATAACAAAGTCAGCTTACTATCACCTCAAGAATATTTCAAGGATAAAAGATCTGATGTCTCAACAGGACCTGGAAAAACTAGTCCATGCATTCATCTTTAGTAGGCTTGATTACTGTAACAGCATCTTTACAGGTCTACCTAAAAAATCAGTCAGACAACTGCAGCTCATTCAGAACTCTGCTGCTCGAGTCCTCACTAAGACCAAAAAAGTGGACCACATCAGTCCAGCTCTGAGGTCTTTACACTGGCTGCCTGTCCGTCAGAGGATAGACTTTAAAGTTCTGATGCTGGTCTATAAAGCTCTGAATGGTTTAGGACCAAAATACATCAGTGACCTCCTGACCCAGTATGAACCTTCCAGATCCCTCAGGTCATCTGGATCCGGTTTTTTATCAGTTCCCAGAGTCAGCTGCATTCAGCTTTTATGCTCCATATATCTGGAACAAACTCCCAGAAAGCCTCAGATCAGCTGAAACACTCAGTTTATTTAAATCCAGGTTGAAGACTCACCTGTTCTCAGCTGCATTTGAATAAAACACCAAATCCACACTCTTTTACTTTTAAGCTTAAATTTTAAAATGTACTCTTTTTTTTCATTTTAAATCATGGTTTTTATTTGTTTCTGTTTTTTAATGTCTCTGTAAAGCACTTTGAATCACCTTGCTGTTGATTGTGCTATATAAAGAAACTTGCCTTGCCTTATGCTGCTACATCAGGCTGCCAGCTCAGCTTTTAGTGCTGCCGCAGTCTCAGGTACATTCAAAACTAAAGACATTTCTTAAAGGTGACCCATTCTGCTGATTTACATTTTCATATTATTACTGTCAGACTCTATTGTATTTTCAACTTCACCGTTTAAAATTATTAATCTCATACTGGGTCTTTGTGAAGCACGTCAGCTCATCTAGTTTATTTTTTCGTTTCTCTCCCTTTAAGCCAACTTTTTTCTAATTGGCTATCCTTCACTAATAGAAGGTTTGAACAGCAGATGGGTGGGGCTGCTGTTCCTGAGATGACTGTATTCATCACACCCCCTATCTTTGGCATCATACAGAGAAAAGAACAGAATAAAACCATTTAAAGCAGAGTGCTTAAAGACATCTGAAGCCTGCACATATGCTGCACCAAACTCTAGCGATGGTTATCCAACCATTAACCATCCAAAACTGTAATGCTGTTTCGTTGTGGCTGTTCTTCTGTCATCTGTTCCCTTTATGTGGGGTTACCACAGTGGATCATCTGCCTCCATCTCATCCTCTCCCTAGCATTTGTCTGTCACACCAACCTTCTGCACGTCCTCCTTCACTACATCTAGGAATCTTCTCTGAGGTCTTTCTCTTTTCCTGCTGCTTGGTAGCTCTATTTTCAACATCCTTTTGCCAATTTATCCACTCCCCCTCCTCTGCACATGTCCAAACCAGCTTAACGTTGCCTTTCTCCACACTGATCAAACTGAGCTCTCCCTGTGATGCACTCATTTCCAATCATGTCCATCATGGTCACTCATAATGAAAATATTAATATGATCGACTCTGCCACCCCCCGTCTTTTGTCAGTGCCACCATTTTCAAATCTCATATCACAGCAGGTCTCACTGCCATCTTGTAAACTTTCCTGACACTCTCGCCCACTCACTCCACCCTGCCTGCGCACTCTTATTCACCCCTCTTGTGCAATGTCTGTTGTCTTAGGTGGTTGATTCCATGTGTTTTGCTGCCTTTGCTTGTTGCAGCTTCACTGTTACACCTGCTTCTCTCTCATTCTACGTTCCTCTTTTCTCCAGTGCATATCTCACACCTGAGAATACGCTTTTTTTTTTTAGCTGCGTGGCCATCAGCTGGCAGAATTAAAAAGAAGTTGCAATTTTACTCAGTGAGAGTTTGTTTATTTGAAATAAACTCCTCTGCCGAAAATATCGAAGCCTTTACAATCACTATAATCACTATAATCGCAAAAATTACATCTATTATATTGTTTCTCCTAAGCTGATGACTTGGGGGTCCGTGATCCACAGCAGCAGAGAAAACACTATAACAGAATTTGATGTGCAAACAACAATAAAATGAACCACATGAGTTCAAAAAACTTCAGATTCTGCTTAACTGAAGTATCTTCTTTGCACATTTCATGGTCACTAAAACACGAAGTTTCATCATTTTTTCATTGCCTTAAATAATGAGAGATGTTTATTTTCTTATCAGCAGTGAGACAATTATTTTTCTCACTGTCTTTAAAAATGTTTTGCACGTGATTATTACAAAAACACTCATCAGATATCACTATGATGTGTAATGCTTAAGATTTGGGAACTTTGCAGAGAATTCAGAAAATGCTTCCTTCTCATGTCACTGAATCATTCCTCACAGGAAAGGTCAAACATCTGAGGATGCCTGAGGAAAGACCGATTTGAACACATAATGGAGTAGAAAAGGAGTTTTTTGAAATCGTTGCTACTGGATTACAGCAGATTTTACAGATCATACCCAGCTATAAACACGACCGCTTTAGATCTCAGCTGAAAAATGACAGTAGCCCGTCCACCTGCTGTGGGAGGACGGTGTTTCCAGGCTTTCATATCAAAACTCACAGAAAAAAAGGGGGAGAGAGAGTAACAGATTTGGCTTAAATTAAAAAAAACAACTGGAATTTTTTTTTTAGGTTTGGTTCTTATGAGCCAGCCCAGATCAAACAGAAACATAAGTGGACTGTTGTAAAACTGTGTTGACTTTAGAATATTGCTGTAACAGAGCTCATAAAAGCCCTGAGCTAACAGTCTGTGCAGGACAAACCACATTGAGTTTAATATCTGGGGGTAAACAGACAAGCACAACACACTGTACCACAGAGACCGTGTAGTCAAGTCAATGTATTTGGACAAACAAGACAAAAATACTCAAGTTTTCAACTACAGAACTAAACTTTGTTTCTATTCTGCTGACTTAGCTTTCTCTACCTAACCTCATGCACAGTTTATTTTTTAAAATACAGCTAAAATAACAATAATAATTAAAAGTGGTCATTAAGGATGGCCCAGTGAACAGGATAACAAGACTAAAATTATGTTGTGTATTGAACAGTTACATACATATATATGAAAATGGTTTCTGAGATTTCTGTCTTGTGCTGCACTGAGACGCTGTGGGTAGTGCCGCTGTTTATAATGTGCAGTGTGGGTTTGCTGCAGGCTCCAGACTATAAATATAAGATGATTTCTTTTGCTATAGTTTTCTACGCTAT